TCCGGTTATCTGTTAATATTTATAGGTCAATACTACTTAGAAATGCCATTTTGAACACGTTCGATAAATCACTTTCTACACTGAAATTATTAGTTACGATGTGTACGCCGTTTATTTCCCGTGAAGCGTACAAAATAATTACTTCTATACGCATCGCGGGGTAAATTTATTTCGAATGCCTTTAGGTATTACATTTACGAGAACATGAGTTAAACTTTAAGTTTTTGTTATACCAAAAATTAAAATATGCGATCACGACCCGCTGCTCTGTCAGTTAATCCACAAGAAATCTGTTACAACATTAAATAAACATTTTGCCAATTAAACAACAGTTCGAACTGTTTCGTTTCTTCTAAGCTACTAGTTACCAAGACAAAAAATAACGCTGTTATTAAGGATAAACAAAAACCATTTCGACATACACATGACTTATTAAACACCCTGTAATTATGCCTAAAAATATGTTTAGGATAAGGCATCCTCGAAAGCGTCTTTACCACATATCCTTTGTTTAATACTTCTCTTCTTCTTCTCTAATCCTTATGATCTTTCGGGCGTCAGCTGTGGATTTCTTGTTCTGTATCCAATCCCTCCATTCTTTCCCGTCTTTTACTATTTATCTTCTGTTAATATATATACTTCCCAAAAATTCGTATGTTGGGACTCTTTCCAATAATTTATTCTTATTCTATCAAAAAATGATTTATATAAAATATTCTTCATATGAAGAAGTCCATCTAATGATGCTATGCAGATTTTCACATAACTGTCCCTTAAGGGCCAAGGATAAAGCAACTTAATTTTTTCAAATAGAAACCTATATTTTTTATTGAATATTCTTAAACATTTTCACTATAGAAATAGATGATCAAGTGGAAAAAAGTTTCTCTATATGAAAATGCACGTCGTAAGGAAAAATTGGTTTTAATTATTGATCGATATTAATGCAAAAATAATCCAATATGACAGGCAATTTTTCCGTTTCTGTATGAAAATGCACTGGTGGTACGTTTTAAAGTGAAAGTCCTGTATGTAACTACTAACTAGCGGAATACGCACCAACCACAAACATTAAGATGCAACGAATTTCGAATTAGAGTACTAAATTAGCACTTAATGTTTTACTAGTTACATGGACATCTTTTGAAACAAAAGTTGGACCTAGAGAAACTCAAAATGTTTAAAATTTACTCCAACTCACTAATAGTCTAGGTGATAGAGACTGTAAAATTGGCAAACTGGACATTTTGATGTGGAAAAGAAAAAAATGGTGGAATATGTTCAGTTAGGTGTCAAAAACAACATATTAAAAATCCCACCCTCCAGACTCTGTGCTAAAGGCTCCAGCCACACCACCATCCCCCAAAAACAGTGTTTTCGCTCTTTTTGGCTGATATCTCGCGATCTATGAGGTCTATATGAAATATTTTTAGCTGAAAATATTTCTCGGGAAATTTCATACAAGGTAGATACTCAGAAGTTAGCCTAGGTGTACCTCTTAGCCTAGGAAATTCATAAAAGCGGCGAAAATCGTCAATTTTCGTGGCTTTTTGCAAATATATCGCGACCTTCAGGGCTAGATGATATATGTTTAGCTGAAAATGCTCTTCGTGCAATTTCATACGAGATAGGTAACTGAAGAGTTGGCGTAAAGTCACCTTTCACCTTCAACTTTCATGTGTGAGGAAATATTCATTGTAAAACAAAGTATTTCTATGTACCATTTATTCACGTAAAAACAGTATTTTTCATATTAAAATATTCACACATTCATTTATACCTCAACGTAATCATTACCCTTATACTTATCCAAATCAATTCGTACTTTTTCGATCAGACTTCTCAATCAAAAGTTATAGACTAGAAACCAATTTGAAAAAAAATTCAAAGGGTTGTAACTTTTGAACTAGTAGCCCAATCTTGGAACTGTTTGAAATTATGGATTCTACAGGCCACATTCTATAAGAAAATTTTTTTTCCGGGTCGATCTGAGAAAATTTTTTTTTCGGGGCTCAAAAAAAGGCAGTGTATAACCTTCCTTTTTTACCAAAAATCGACTACACCAAAATTTCTCGGGAAAACACTTTTTCTTATTAATTTGGTTGCGTAGAATCCAAATCAATTCGTACTTTTTCGATCAGACTTCTCAATCAAAAGTTATAGACTAGAAACCAATTTCGAAAAAAAAATTCAAAGGGCTGTAACTTTTGAACTAGTAGCCCAATCTTGGAACTGTTTGAAATTATGGATTCTACAGGCCACATTCTATAAGAAATTTTTTTTCCGGGTCGATCTAGACAATTTTTTTTGTTTCGGGGCTCAAAAAAAGGCAGTGTATAACCTTCCTTTTTTACCAAAAATCGACTACACCCAAATTTCTCGGGAAAACACTTTTTCTTATTAATTTGGGTGCGTAGAATCCAAATCAATTCGTACTTTTTCGATCAGACTTCTCAATCAAAAGTTACAGACTAGAAACCAATTTCGAAAGAAAATTCAAAGGACTGTAACTTTAGAACTAGTAGCCCAATACTTTCTTATTAATTTTGGTGCGTAGAGTCCAAATCAATTCGTACTTTTTCTATCAGACTTCTCAATCAAAAGTTGCAGACTAGAAACCAATTTCGAAAAAAAATTCAAAGGGCTGTAACTTTTGAACTAGTAGCCCAATCTTCGAACTGTTTGAAATTATGGATTCTATAGGCCACATTCTATAAGAAAATTTTTGTTCCGGGTCGATCTGAGATAATTTTTTTTTCGGGGCTCAAAAAAAGGCAGTGTATTACCTTCCTCTTTTCCAAAAATTGACTACACCAAAATTTCTCGGGAAAACACTTTTTCTTATTAATTTGTGTGCGTAGAATCCAAATCAATTCGTACTTTTTCGATCAGACTTCTCAATCAAAAGTTATAGAACCAATTTCGAAAAAAATGCAAAGGGCTGTAACTTTTAAACTAGTAACCCAATCTTGGAACTGTTTGAAATTATGGATTCTACAGGCCACATTCTATAAGAAAATTTTTGTTCCGGGTCGATCTGAGACAATTTTTTTTTCGGGGCTCAAAAAAAGGCAGTGTATTACCTTCCTTTTTTCCAAAAATTGACTACACCAAAATTTCTCGGGAAAACACTTTCTTATTAATTTGGGTGCGTAGAATCCAAATCAATTCGTACTTTTTCGATCAGAATTCTCAATCAAAGGTTACAGACTAGAAACCAATTTCGAAAGAAAATTCAAAGGACTGTAACTTTTGAACTAGTAGCCCAATCTTGGAACTGTTTGAAATTATGGATTCTACAGGCCACATTCTATAAGAAAATTTTTTTTCCGGGTCGATCTGAAACAATTTTTTTTTCGGGGCTCAAAAAAAGGCAGTGTATAACCTTCCTTTTTTACCAAAAATCGACTACACCAAAATTTCTCAGGAAAACACCTTTTCTTATTAATTTGGGTGCGTAGAATCCAAATCAATTCGTACTTTTTCGATCAGACTTCTCAATCAAAAGTTATAGACTAGAAACCAATTTCGAAAAAATATTCAAAGGGCTGTAACTTTTGAACTAGTAGCCCAATCTTGGAACTGTTTGAAATTATGGATTCTACAGGCCACATTCTATAAGAAAATTTTTTTTTCGGGTCGATCTGAGACAATTTTTTTTCGGGGCTCAAAAAAAGGCAGTGTATAACCTTCCTTTTTTACCAAAAATCGACTGCACCAAAATTTCTCGGGAAAACACTTTCTTATTAATTTTGGTGCGTAGAATCCAAAACAATTCGTACTTTTTCGATCAGACTTCTCAATCAAAAGTTATAGACTAGAAACCAATTTCGAAAGAAAATTCAAAGGGCTGTAACTATTGAACTAGTAGCCCAATCTTGGAACTGTTTGAAATTATGGATTCTACAGGCCACATTCTATAAGAAAATTTTTTTTTCCGGGTCGATCTGAGACAATTTTTTTTCGGGGCTCAAAAAAAGGCAGTGTATAACCTTCCTTTTTTACCAAAAATCGACTACACCAAAATTTCTTGGGAAAACACTTTTTCTTATTAATTTTGGTGCGTAGAATCCAAAACAATTCGTACTTTTTCGATTAGACTTCTCAATCAAAAGTTATAGACTAGAAACCAATTTCGAAAAAAATTTCAAAGGGCTGTAACTTTTGAACTAGTAGCCCAATCTTGGAACTGTTTGAAATTATGGATTCTACAGGCCACATTCTATTAGAAAATTTTTTTCCGGGTCGATCTGAGACAATTTTCTTTTTCGGGGCTCAAAAAAAGGCAGTGTATTACTTTCCTTTTTTCCAAAAATTGACTACACCAAAATTTCTCGGGAAAACACTTTTTCTTATTAATTTTGGTGCGTAGAATCCAAAGCAATTCGTACTTTTTCGATCAGACTTCTCAATCAAAAGTTATAGACTAGAAACCAATTTCGAAAAAAAATTCAAAGGGCTGTAATTTTTGAACTAGTAGCCCAATCTTGGAACTGTTTGAAATTATGGATTCTACAGGCCACATTCTATAAGAAAATTTTTGTTCCGGGTCGATCTGAGACAATTTTTTTTTCGGGGCTCAAAAAAAGGCAGTGTATTATTTTTTCGCATATTGGCATTCTTTGTGATGTGTGTTGCCTAACCGTAGGGGTACGTTATGTGTTATTTAAGGTCTTTGAGGAACCGGGAACGCGATAGCATTTTTATTTCTTCATTTTAAAAACTTTATCTACAGGATGCGTCAAAATTTAATTTGTACCTTTGTTGAAGTTAAACAAATGATGAGACTTTTTTATTTTTCTTTATTAAATAGCAAAATTTTACATATAATTACTGTATATTTACATGATTATAAAACGTTCAGAGCTTACATGGTATGCATATACAAAATATAATTAAAAAGATAACCATAAAACGAAAAGAAACATATAACACACTGTGCCTTTGCTTTGAAACTGGGGGGGGGGGGGGGGGCAACGAGCGTAAAACACATACAACTGTACTTTGCAAATAATACAAATTAAAAATTCGATTAAAAAAACCTATTTCAACGGCAGGCACGAAAGCTGTACACATCCCACTAGTTCGTTTCGTCGATAAAGCTCGAGTTCATGTGGGTGTCCCCGACGATGTTTTTACCATTTATGATGGGACTACCCGACGAGTTTGTCATGCTTTGATGCTTATTACGAAGTTCAAACACCTGCTGGATCGCCTCACGAAAGCACAAGAAGTTATAGTCGATGACCCCTAAAACGGACGGAGATTTACGAAAAGAAGGAGGGCGAACGAAACCGTACCTTTGTGATCGAAATTGTCCTCCCTCAATATACAGACGAGGGCGAGAAACTTGTTCACCTCGCGAAGGTAGAGCACCGTTCCGTTGTTGAGCTTGATCAGACTAGAGCTTTGCTCGTCGAAGGCCGTCGTCTCCTGCTCGTCCCGAACGCTGTACCTGGAACGTTGGTAAGACATACGGTGATGGAACGAACGTGTGAAGGTTACCCGTAAATCCACGAGACGTCGATGACGACGTCGATCATGTCGCAGCACAGCTCGTAGCTTTGCATGTCGACGGGCGTCGAGTCCGTGGCGATGTAGATTTTCGAGACGACGTCGAATAGGAACGATTTTTCGATTGCCGAGTTCTAGAACGATTAGTAAACAATTACCACCCCCCTACCCCCTTCCATCAACTCACCGTATTGAGTATGTTGAGAAGATTCTCTAAGGCGGGGAGTTGCGGGATGAGCTTCTGAACGACCTTCGAAAAGGCCTCGAAGATCGAATGATCGTAAATCGAGGTCAAATGGAAACTGAGATGGATCTTATCGTAACCGGCGTCCGACAGATCGTCGTTCGCCCTCTGATGAATATCCCTTTGAGATTCCATCTTAAAATCGTCGCCCAAACCGTCCACCTTGTGGATGAAGACCTCGAACTTGATGTTCTGGTTCACCTTGTACGCCTTCGTGACGGTTATGTTGAGTTTATTTAACGCGTCCATGTAGTCATCCTGCGCGTCGATGACGAAGACCAGCGCCCCGCAACCGCCGAAGATCATGTCCGAGTCGAACGTCGAATCGAAGAAGTCTATCTGTCCGGGAAAGTCCCATATTTGAAATTGCACGAAGCTCGAGTTGTTTATGTCGTCTTTTACTATTTTATTTGTACTTTCTAGGAACAGCGTTTCGTTCGGCGACATCTTGTGAAAGACCACCTTTTGTATTGACGATTTGCCGGATCTGCAAAAGGCAAAAAGGCGATTACAGGGCGACGTTTCGGAGCTGTTTACCTTCGTAAGCCCATCAGGAGAATTCGCGGCTTCTGCTCGTTGTTAGACGACAGCGTAACGTCGTGGTCGCCATCGAATGCTCCGTAACCGAACTCCTTGGGGAAGGAACCGGCGTGACCGTCGAACGGCACAACTTCCTCGTCGTCCGGATACGACGACTGCAAGTAAAAGTTAGTTGTTATCAAGAAGGATACTTGGAGTTAACCTCAAAATCGTTTTCATTTACCATTCTATTTAAACTGCCTTAGAATTACAATGAGTAATGTTTTTGTAAACTAAGCCCTTGTTTTATCGCTTCCCATGTTATCGCGACAGTTTTTTGCTGTTTTTATCATATGATAAGGATTTAGTTTTGATGGACCACTCAGTATATCAATGCGACGTTGCCACGTGCGACGTGATAAATCAAGACATCCACATAAATAGTTGCCATCTATCGAAAAAAATAAGTACTGAACCTTGACAGTATACAAGGTGCTTCAAAGATAATTTGTACTCCCTTAGGGCTCGGCAGAACATGTGTATATTTTACTCATGTGAAGTGATAGGTTAGTGCTCGAAGCTTATCGTTAGTTCTGCTACATGACATGAGAAAAATAAAAAAAACCGGGGCGGGGCGAACTTCACACTCAACTTTAATTTATCGAAATAACGAACGCACACAGCGTTAGTGCTATGTTAGTGGTGTTAAATGCCAGACAAACAGTATCTCAACATTTTTAATTAGATGTGTGTGTTTGTGTGTGTGAAAATGTTCCCTCGTGTAAATTCTATCGCTCGTAAAATTTAAATGTAAAAATTAACTTCGTGACCCATTTAAATACAAAGAGCTTCGGCGCGTTCTTAGATGCGCGATCGATAAAAATAAATGAAAGCGTCGTCCTTGGTCGCAATTTCCCACTCAAAATAAAACCACTTTATTGCGGCTAGGGAATGCAATCCCGCAGCAAAATCTCAATCCCGGTATTTGCGGGATCGTTAGAAGTTAGTCCCGCCGAATCCCGGTATTTGCGGGATCCCGCAAAATTTTAAATAAATTGGCAAATAAGCAATTTTGTGCGGTTAATTTCTGTATTAAAATAAATCGCTAATTATCACAATATTCAACAAAAAAGTGAACTTCGAATTTTTGGTCGAAAATCTGACAGCGCTAATCGATAGCGCTGGTCGTGACCTTTCCAACGAGGGGTCGAAATCTACGACGCACCGTTCTCGAGATATTACGGTTTGAAATTTTGACCAAAAATTCTGACAAACCGTAATATCTCGAGAACGGTACGTCGTAGATATTCCTGCTGAACCCTCGTTGGAAAGGTCTCGACCAGCGCTATCGATTGGCGCTGTCAGAATGTTTGGTCGAAATTTCAAACCGTAATATCTCGACACTTAAATTCCTCCATAATTTCAAACAGTTCCAAGATCGGACTACTAGATCAAAAGTTACAGCCCTTTGCATTTTTTGCCGAAATTGGTTCTTTGCCCATAACTTTTGATTGAGACGTCTAATCGAAAAAGTACGAATCGTTTTGGATTCTACGCACCAAAATTAATAAGAAAAAGTTTTTTCCCGAGAAATTTTGGTGCAGTCGATTTTTGGTAAAAAGGAAGGTTATACACTGCCTTTTTTTTGGCCCGAAAAAAAATTGTCAGATCGACCGGGAAAAATATTTTCTTATAGAATGTGGCCTGTAGAATCCATAATTTCAAACAGTTCCAAGATCGGGCGACTAGATCAAAAGTTACAGCCCTTTGAATTTTTTGTCGAAATTGGTTTTTTGATCGAAATTCTGACAGCGCTAATCGATAGCGCTGGTCGAGACCTTTCCAACGAGGGGTCGGAAGGCATATCTACGACGCACCGTTCTCAAGGTAGTACGGTTTGAAATTTCGACCAAACATTCTGACAGCGGATTGCGGCTTGTTTAAATTGTTTTCAACAAACATTTGGCACAACTGTTTGCAAATTTAGTTCATCTCTCTGGCGGTTCCTGAATTTTAAGCACTAAACTTTTCGCCATTACACGGAATGACCACCTTTTTAACACTCAAGGAGTACGTTCAACCTCGTCCCGCGTACATGGTCGCGATCCTCGCTCATCTCAGATAAGCCAGACACCTTTTACTGAAAATACACGCGTTGTTATCGCCTATTCTTTCCAGACATACTTTCGTTTCTGTTCGTTATAAAGCGGTACATGTGTAAATTTTCCAATGGTTACTAAAATATAAATTCGAAAAATTACTGTATTGCAACGAAATCGAAAGTGGCGAAGCCTGTGTTCATTTATCAGGATACAAACGAATGCAAGCCTGCTTGATAAATTAATTTTAATTAATTAATTGTTATTTAGTTATCCATTAAATTGATGCAACTTTCTTTGAAATAAATGACATGTTTACAAATGTTTCGTTTGGCGGAAATCATTTTGATTCGCGCACGTCTACCGTAAAATAAAGTTCGCAAATTCACAGAAGTATGAAAGGTCGTGTTTCCAATTTTTCATTGTGAGCGATGTATCATTATTACCCTGTTATTACGAGTGCGGTTTAAGTATTTCACTGTGTTTATAGGTGCAGGTGGCCAAACATGAAATTATATACTGTGTAGGTTCCCACAAAGACACGAACATGATAAATGACTACTGCAATCAATAATCAATATGTATGAAAAAGTTCTAGCTCCAGTTTTACTTTACCTTGCGTTATTTGTGAACGTTTTCGAAGTAAGGTCGGGTCCGTGTAATGAAACGCGGTGTTCTGCTTTGTGTTCTTCTCGCAATGTTTCTGCGTTCAGTTCACAATTTGCAAATTGGAATTAGAGCGTCGTCGCGGGTGGTAGAGGTATGTGGCGCTAAGGTTATTGAAACGCTTTTTGGAAAAGCACCCGTTTATTTCGTAAAGCATGAAATATTTACTCTACAGTCGTCAGGATATACGTAATGGACGGTTTCTAGTGATAACAGACCAAAATAATTTAGCGGAGGAGGTCTTCGAGTGGTATTGGGAGGAGGAGAAGGTCGTCTACGTCGCAGTGTTGGCGATCGACATCAACAGCACCACGAAGTCGCTTTTAATTACGGGAGATCCAAACGACGCGTTGAATTGTTGCGGACGCCAGTTAAACGTGTTCCACAATCAGAGTTGTGCAGGTTCAATCACGGACACGATTCCTAAGACCACCAGGAACTATAATGGGCGCCCTGTAACTGTCAACATCTTAAAAAAATTGCGTTACGAGTTTGATCCAAGACTGTATACCTTGAATATTGCGCGGGAAATGTTGAACATTTCTTTCGTCTTTCTTTACAGGGCCAAAGAATTTCAAGCGGCGGATATTTACGCCGATATATCACTGACGCCTGCTACTTTTCGATTTTATCGTACCAGTCATGTGTATGCAAGAGGCAATGTTGTATTCGTAGTCCCTCCAGCAACTAAAATATCGTATATCGAGGCTCTGATAGTTGGAGGAGAGAAGTTTGGTTAGCAATTCTTCTGGCTTTTGTGTCATTCGCCCTAACTTGGTACGTTATTTGTCGATTTAAGGTGAGCTTGTGTGCTATCATACTAAACACCGTCAGAATCACATTTTCTGGCAGCTCCAATTGCATTCCCAACTGTTCAATTGCAAGATTCTTAATCATGTGTTACATCGTATACAGTATACACATGCAAACCGCGTACCTTGCGGAATTGATGCTGTTGTTGGTGTCGCTACCGACGGGAGAACACATTGGCAACATGGACGAGCTGATGGGAAAGAATCTTTCTATTTGGTTAGATCTGGAGTCCATGATTATGTTTGATCAGTTTCTGATTTTTGACAGTACAATAATTCCAAGGTTGAAAAAACGATGTCACCTAGACGGTGACGCGGACAACTTAACAAAGAGCTGGTATGCTGATAAGAGTTTCTCCTTCTCCATACTTCTCAAGACATTGCAATCGATTGAAACGAGGCTGCAAATACCAACTCCACCTTATTTTGTTGTTGAAAATAAAATGTTGCCGTCTATCATGAATGTATTTGCAACTGGTTTGAGCGCTTACCTGATTGATAGTATGGACGAGATTATTGACAGGCTGACTGACAGTGGATTGTACGACAAGTTGGATAAAGATAGAAAGTTCTACACAGAGATGAAGAAGCGAGAGTTCATTTCTGAGGAGAGGGTGAGGGCTTTTTCTTTCGAGCAGCTCAGTGGTGTCTTTGTGGTATTCGGTTGTGGTTTGTTATTATCTATCGTGGCGTTTTTTGGAGAGTTAGTTGTGCATCGTTTTACGAAGTGATCTACTGTGCAATGCAATTTAAATTGTATTTTGTTCACTACTGAGTGTAAAGGCACAAACTGTTAATAAATAAAAATTTAAAAGTTCCCCAATTACCCAGAATTTGTTTGATTGGGAAATAAATGAACGTTAGGGAAACATAATTACAGAATCTGTATAGAAACTATGATTTTTCACTTGAAAACTCGCCAGCCTACGCACTTTCCAATACCTCGTTACGTTAGATCTCTCTGGGAAATTTTCTTGGCTTTCTAAAGCCTACCAAAACGGGTTTGACCATTTTTGAAACTTTCTAGAGTCAATTGGCTCCGGTAAGTGTTTAGAGTCCGGAAGAAGGGAGAAGGTTAGAAACACCATAAAGCCTCCTCATCATGTTCCAGAGCATTACATCTGCATTACCCAGCGAGGTCTGCCCCGTTGTTAAATCTCCTACTGTTAGATAGTCTCAAGGTATCTGTGATTAACCGAGACAATTTTTTTTTACTTCCACATTTTAATTTGAGTGTGTTCTATTGTCTTCAGTACAGTGACTCTATAGAAGACAGTGGTGACAATTGAACCCGTCCGCCATGTTGTCGCCAATTCAAACACGGAAACCTTGATCATACGGTGTGTATAATCAATGCACTTAGACAAGGAAAGACATAGGACAGATAATACTTTCAATAAAACTGTTACCATTTGTCACAAAGGCACGCCGCCAGTGTCGTAACATACAAATAGCACTGTTGGAAGATAAAAATTATTCCTTTTATACGACGAGTGTAAATAAAATTTATTAAAACAGTATAGAATTAATTATTTTGCTAAATATAATAGTTGAGAATTATACAGGGTGGTGCACGGTAAGTAGGAACATAGGAATTTAACATGGGAAATTAGTTTTATGCAAAATCCTGCCCTCCTGTACATTTTACAAAAAAACTGTAGAGTATAAAGTTGTTCAGAACTAAAAGATGCATACAAAACTGTTTTTACATGTTTTATTAAGCTTTTCGTATACCCGCAAATTTAAAAATAAATTTCAACATTTCTGTTATTAATGGCAATTGGCATGTTAATTCATAAAACAACAAATCAGTCATGGCTATTGCTACTAATA